CCGCAGCAGGCAGCGAGGCCAGGCGGGGGGCCACAACTGTGACTCCCTGCCTGCCCAGGGCCCGCAAGGCATTGAGGGGGGATGGAGGCAGGACATAAAGGGACAGGGAACGGTGCCACATGCCTGGTGGCACCACTGGGCAACCCAAGACCTCCAGCACAGAGGCCACAGCAGGTGGCAGACACTGGTCCTCCCATGTCTGGAAGATAAGACTGGACTGGGGTAGCAGCGGAGCCAGACAGATGCTGGGGGCACCCAGTGGGGCCAGGGAGATGAGAGGGAGCCCCTCCAGAGGGCTCAGGTCTTCCACGTGGTGGGCCAGAAATTGCCACAGGGCTGAGAACCAGGAGGCTGGAGGCTGGGGGGGGCCTTTGGCCGGGCGCCAGGTCACTGGGGTTGAAGATTGGGACATCCAGGTAGGGGGAAGAGCCAAGCGTAGGGTCTGGGCAGTCACAGCTGGGTCCAGCAGAACCAGGTTGGAGAACAGACCTGTGTGTGGGAGGCAGAGGCTGGATGAGGACTACATGGGACCTAGAACCTGGCAGGGGGACCCAGGGGAGAAAGAACCTGAGATCTGCAGGGGATTGGGGGGCCCCCCATACTGGGGATGGAAGGACCTGGGCTCTGGAAGGACAGTGGATGTCCTGAACAGGAGGAACAGTGGAACCCCAGATTGGTGGGGATAGAGGAGAGCTGAGAGGGAAAAAGGTATTAGCAGGACCAGTACTGAGGCGCACAGAGGTCCTCAGATGGGGAACACAGGGAGACCCAGGATCCAAGGGAGAACAGAGGAGACAGAGGAAACTGCTAAGAACAGCAAGGACAGGGGAGTCCCCAGAGACACAGGGAGATGCAGGATAGGAGAGGTGGCCTTGGGCTCAGACAACACACCCCAAACCAGAGACAGTGAGACGGGATCTACAGTCCTGTTAAATGGATGGGGGAAGCCCAGAGCAGGGCCTCGGACAGGGTTCAGGGGCTCCAGGTATGTATAGGGAGTTATCAGTGTGGTACAGAGAGATGCTGGGGCTGCAGAGGAGCCCCAGTGTGTACAAGGGTGCCTAGGGCTGTTGAGGTTTAGAGGAAAATTAAGAGACTCAAAGGAGATCCAGGGACCCTCCCGTCTCTTACCCGCCTTAGCAATGCCTCGCAGAAGGCTGTCCAAGCCTGGCTCCAGGTCTGAGGGCAGGAATGACCCAGCCAGGCCGGGCAGGAGCTCCCTGTGGGGACAAATGGAGATGCTGGAGGACTAGAGGAGTAATGAGGGCAGGCAGCTTCCTGGACACTGGCTCAGCTCCCACCCAGTGATACTGAGGGAGAGGAGGAGGGCAGTGAGACACCCAAATGTTCAGGTTTGACCACAGGGACGTTCAGCTCAAGAGCGGGTGCTGTGCCCTGGGTAACTGGCTCACCTGCTCACTCCTGCAGGGAATGAGGCTGCCTGAGGCCACAGACTCACCTGGGGCAGTCTGATGTGTCCACGTAGACAATGGCTGACTTGGTTCCAAAGGCCACAAAGGTTCCATCAGCACGAGGCAGGAGGGGGAGACCCCGCAGTTCAGCATGGCACCCATCCCCAGCCACGTAGCGCAGCAGGGAGAGCCGGTCGGCGGCGGGGAGGCCTACGGTCCCATGGCGACGCAGCACCTCCCGCACGTGGCCCGCTGTGGCCTCCCGTACACCTTCCACCATCCCCAACGCCAGTGCCCTGTGGACATGGGCTGGGACCTCAGCCACTGGCTCCCCAGCTGCCACCAGTAAGGCCTGGACCACCCGCCGTGTGGCCATGTCCCCTGTGGCGTCTGGCAGCAGCACAGCCTCAGCGGCCCGCAGCCGCCCCGCGGCCCTCTCTGCAGCTGGCACCAGGATGCGGGCAGCTGCCAGCTCCCGGCAGACATGGGTCACCAAACTGTGGATGCGGCCACTGCTCGGCGTGTTCTTGGGGTCTGGCCAGATCCTGTAGGTGTCTGTGTCAGGCAGAGCCGCGACCACAGCAGCCATGTGGCTGTAGACCTGTGGCAGGAGGCCAAGGAGCAGCAGGGCATTCCAGCGGGCATCTTCACCATCCTTCTTGCCCTCCTCAGGCCAGCGGAGATGGCGGCGGTCATCGGAGAGGGTGAAGGGCGCACTGGCGTGGACGGGCAGCCCTGTGGTCATCTCGTCTGTGGCTGGCAGGGGTAGGAAGCAGCACAGCCGCCCTTGGCAGGGCCCACAGAGGGGGTGTGCCAGGCTCAGCTCAGGGCAGCACCCCAGCTTTGCGCCCAGTGCCACGGCCGGCCCCTCCGTGGCCCTGCCCGTGGCCACCAGCCACTTGCTCCCATCCCTCACCCCTTCCCCATGCAGGGCCACCAGGCGCCATGCCAGCCTCAGTCCCTCATCCCCTGATGGCCCTGGCACAGGGAGAGGCTGAGGCGATGCCACAAGGGTCCCCATGAGTGTCTGTGCTCCATCTGGGGCCACATGGTGCACGGCCACGTGACGGATGTGGCGGAGGAAGAGGAGAGCGAGAGGGGCCTCTGTAAGGAAGGTCTGGAGGAGGTTACGGAGGCGCCCAGGATCGGAGACTGCTGCAGTGATTTCCGAGGGTTGCCGGCGGAGGGGGAAGCGGAAGAGGGTGCCATGGGCAGAGCCACGGTGCTGTCCCACAGCTTCCAGCCCTGCCCAGAAGGGCTCGAAAAGGCCAGGAAGGTCCTGGGCTGCAGAGACATCCCAGCGGGCACCACCACCTGGCAGCACCTGGCATTCGGGATCCAGCACCCCCAAGGATGGGGGGCTCAGCACACCTGGCAGGTCTGGGGACATTAAGAACCATGAGGCCACAGGGATGGCATGGACACCACTGCTTCCTTGGATCGTCCCAGCCCATCGATGGGCACATGGGGCACTGATCCCACAGTGCCTCCCATGACCCCAAGCTTAATCCCAATTCATCAGTCCTCCCTCAGTTTTTTTCTGCAGCCCTGCCCTCCACCCCCATCCAGCCTCCTGGTGCTTCGGTTTTCCTCACTTCAAACCCAGCCCTCCATTTTGCACCTCCCCAGTGCCCCCCAGTACTCCCCAGCACCTGTAGTTTAATGCCTCCAGTACAACCCCAGTTCAGTCCCAGCTGAGGCCCCCAGTGCTGCTCACCTGTGAGGTGGTAGACAGAAGTGAAGCCCAGGCCGAAGCGCCCCACAGTGCTGGGGTCCTCCCGCTTGTGTGACACGCCTGGGCGCAGGATCCCTGTCCAGTCCCGGGGCGACATCAGGGCATCATTGTAGGCCAGGAGGGCTGGGCCTGGGGAGTTAGGACCACGGGTTAGGGGAGTCTTGGGACATGTAGGGAGGATTGTGACCCACACTCAGTATCTCCACAACCTCAGTTTCCCCTCCAGTCCCACAAAATCCTGCTCAGTGCCCCCAGTACCACTGAGTCCTCCCAAGTACCCTCAGTGCCCACAACACATCCTAGAACACCTCATTGGTTCCAGTTCCCCCAGTCCACCGTGATCTTCCTTCAGTTCTTCACCAGTATCCCCCAAACCCTCCCAAGTACTTGCCAGTGCCGCCCCTGCACTTTGTCCAGTTTTTCCCAGTGCCCGTAGTGCCTCTCACCCTGGGTGCCCTCCAGCCCTCCTCTGGTGACGTCAAACTCCCGCTCATCGGACACAAACACGACCTTGTTAGCACCAGCATCGTCCGCATTCTGCACCAGCTCCTGGGTTCAGGAATCAGTGTTAGGACACCTCACCCCCCCCCAGCCCCCAGAGAAAAGCACTGACCCGCTCTCCCGGCTGGCCAGCGAGGTCCAGGGCTTGGTGCTGGGCAGGGACCACCGCCCACCCCAGCTGCCTGTGGTCTGTCTGCCCAGCTGGGCAAGAGAGCCCGGGCTGCTGGGCTCCCTGGGGGTCTCACCTTGAGGATTTGCCCCCCATCGGGGTACTTCTGCAGGATACTGTGCAGGTAGTCAAGGAAGATGGGTGCCCGCTGGCAGAAGGTCTCCCTACAAAGCGGAGAGAAGGGGCAGGGGGAGCAGAGCAGAGCTCACCTTCATGGGCAGCCGACCCCCTTGTCCTGCTCAGATCCCCCAGGATGTCTCACTTCTTGGGAAGGGTCAAGGACCCCATGTACTCCCGGGCTCCACTGAAACAACCACCTCCAAGGTCTGTGTCGTCGTCGTCGTTGTTGTCCCGTCCCGTCCCCCCCGCCC